TTTCATCATGTCAATAATCAATGAACTAAGTTCTCAGTTCGATCTGCCGGTCGCTAGAAGGTCGTCCGTGCAAGACACGTCTCCACACGGGCCGTTTCCAAGCAGTGGAAGAGGTTTTCCGCGCAAGTCCGAGCGATCTAGAAGACCAAGATCAAAAAGCAAACGCAAGAAAGATCCAAGATCCAAGATCCAGGCGCAGAGCAAGCCAGCTCAAGCCATTTCCAAACTGTTTGTCAAGTAGCGAACCCGCCTCGCCCACCACTGATACGGCGGACACCAACACGGTTGTTGCCCCCAAGTAGTTCGGTCTTGATTGAGGAAATTGCTTTACGTGTGATCTTGCACCACGTACTTTCCACTTGGCAATTGCTAAAATCAACGTGTCGTTTCCGAGACCATACCATGACCACTGCCCTTTCCATTGTGGGACTATAACACACGTGTGCCTGTTAAATCGAAGAAAGAAAAGAAAAGAAGGACGAAGTTCGATCTGACGAGACCATAATGCTCTGAGCTGCAAATAACATAAATAAGTCGGCCCACTAAAACTCCAGCTTTTTGGAAAGGACGCCGAGTATGGGGGTTGTTCAGACATGACATCGATAGCGAAGACAATGCAACGCAGGACTCGGTCATAAACGACACGAAGGAGCCAGAATCAACTAGTGCATCGTAGTAGAGTAGATCACCGGCACCATTCTGCATCACAGCTTCCACGGTCACACTTCGTCAACCTCAAAACGACGGATGTGCCCGCAAGGCGGTGGTTTCCCTTCTGTTTACAACCCTGTACGGGCAACGGTCGGTAACCCATTTTCACGTGTTTCAAGTCGCACGACCAGCCAAGTAGGATGATGCCAGTACCGATGGCGGACGGGCCGCCACGCCACGACGCCTCGGCAGCGTACGCATTGCACAACGATGACCAGAGAGTCTTGCCATTCCAAATCTCGAGTACGCTCGACGCCCGCACAAAATCGAGCCGGCTCTCGGCACTGACGCTGCCCTACTACTGCGCGGGCGCTCACTGCAGCCACGTATGGACGCCAGCTGCGATCGCGTCGGCCGTCACTGAGTTTCCTTTGCATCGGCACGGGGCTCTGCGGCTTCTGGATGCGGTGCTGCGCTGCCGGGCTACGCCGCGCGTCAAGTACTTTTGCCAAACGTGCAATGAAAACCTGACGGCGCGCGAGAAGGAGGACGCGACGCCGAGCGCCGAGCACCCGAGCGTCGCGGCGCCAAGCATGTCCCACCAACTCCGCATCTACAGCGCGACGATCAACTTGATACAAAGATACCTCGTTTGGCTGCTCCTGCTCGTCCTTTCGTTTCCAATCATGGGTCTCCTCTTGGCAACACCCTCGGTCGCCAACGCCGTATGTCCGACGCCGCTTCGAAAGCTCTGGACGATTGTACCGCGCATCTACGTCTTGTATCTCTGTGCCTATGTCTATGGCGTCGCCACGGGCATTGCAGTGTCGTTCGCGTTCATCGCTGACGTACTGCTCTGGGCCTGGCTCGAAGCGACGACGGTCTTTCTAGCGTGTATTGGCATCCTTGCTGTCGCTGCCAAGCGAGACGACGTTGGTGCCCCCTCGACCTCGGAGATTGACGTCGGGCGCGGGCTCGTCTGGGTCCTCTTCCCGCAGTACAAGGTGCACCAGCTACTGCATTTGCTCCACGTGGCCCCGACGCCGCAGCTCATTGCGCACGCCAGCGTCGCTAAGTACGGCTATAACCTCGCGGACGCCGTTGTTCTCGACAAGCGAGCGCACCCGATATGCCCCAATGCATTGCCAGGTGTGTTTATGGCCCGCCAAGTCAAGTGGCCTCGCATGCTCTTGGCGATCGCAGTCCTCGCGCTCGTCGGCTGCAATGTGGTGCTTGTGGTTGCGTGGACAGCGGGGGTACTCCCGGGCGTCCCGTTTGTCGTCCCAGGTTTGGTCAACGGCGCAGACTACGTCAACTATACGGTCACGGGCAGCATGGCGCCGCTCTGTACATCGTTGAATGGGTCGCACCACGCCCTTTGGAACCTGCAGTTGAGCCCGGTGCCGTCGGCGGCGTCCGGACTCTACCCGCTCGACCTTGCCTTTTTGGATAAAAATGGGAGCGCCACGTCATTTTTCGTGACAACGGCGTGGGGGCTACCAGTACAGCGTCAAGACAACCTGTCGGTGCAAGTCGGTCTTGTCGACGGACAAGGATCCTGGAGCTTTCTCGGGCGGTTCGAGAATACAACCAGTTGCAACGACGTCGGCGCGCTGCTCCCAGTTGTCTCGGTGCCCGACTTTGTGTGGCTCGAAGCCGACGTTGTCAATGACAACCGGGCTGGTCTTGCACCCTTTGCGCTACTGCTCTTGATCAAACACCTCTTGCAGTCGACATGGCTCAGCGTTCTCACGACATCCTTGGCGCTCGGTGTCCATCGGCTCTGGGCGCAATTCGACTCGATGCGACTCGAGCCAACAAGCTCGTTCGAGACGGGTGTCGTCGTCGAGTGCACGGTCGGCACGAACCTCGAGGCGTGGTTCCGCGTCCGGCAAGGCGTCGTCGCTGCCACGTCCTTCTACACAGCGCTGCTCGATGGGTTTGTGCTGCTGGCGAGTCTGCAAGCCGCAGTGGCGTTTGGTGGTCTTCTTTGCTACTGCATGCTAGGAACCGCGCCGATACCGACGTACTATGTGCTCTTGGGTGCTCTTGTTGGCGCGCTACCGACGCTGCTCGCGCTGCTGCCCGTGGCGCTCGCCTCGTCGTTGCGGCGGCGCCACCTCGCGTTGCTCGAGAAGCTGCAGCTCGAGATCGCGGCCGCGCAGCATCGCGCGCCAGAGAGTGGGCTTGCGTCGCTCTTGGGTTTTCTCGACCGACTGGTGGCGGTCCTCGCGCGAAGCGAGGATCGAATTGACGTCGCCGGCGTCGCGATCTCGCTGCGCCGGCTCGGCGCCGTCGGCGTGCTCCTCGTAACCGGTTTGGCCTACGTCGGGTGCCACCCTGTCAACTCTATCTGGGCAGCGTCCAACGATTTCTATTTTGTGTATTATGGATACTAAACGATACATGACGACGCTTGATTCAGTGGGGCCCGCTCGAATCAACTTTTTTATCAACTTGGTGGAGTTATTGCCCAAAGGTGTACTCTCGTTTCTTAGGGCAGCCAGATAAATACTACAGTGGTTTGAGTGGTGCAGGGAGCTCACACTGTACAAAAGACAGTGGACGTGAGTCCCCTGCCGTCCACTCTGCGCTGAGTATCTTCCATCGCCATGCACAGAGCCCACCAACTGGTCCTCGAGCGACTGGACTACTGGACGCGGATACAGCAAAGGGACTCTCCGTAGAGTGCAGAGGTGCGTAGAGGTTGCGGCTTGGCCAACTGGAGATATATTTTCGATGCTTCTTGAAGTCGAATATGGTTTCCCGGTTTGCGACGACAAAGCAGGTGGCTTGACCGTGCTGGTTCCTCTGTGAAGAGCCGCCTCTTGCCACTCCCCTCGATCTTCTCCTACAGGAGCTTCGATAACAACGCGACGACGGTTCGAATCTGGACAGATCCGCGACGACATACCCGTATA